AAACCTATAATTTTATGGTGGTTATATTGATGTCATATTTATATTTTTCTTCCATGTCTTAAGTTTATCAATAGTAATACCATTCTGAACAAGGCAAGTGACCAGTGAACTCAACACATTTTTCACTTAAATCCCTAACTATTCTTCCACTTCTCTTTATCTTCATATTCCCCAAAGGTTTAGTTTTGGTTTGTTTGGGGATATACTTTTTGTGACTTTTCTTCCCCCTCCATTGCTTGTTTTAAAACAAAACAAAACATTATATTAACTATTCTTTATCATATCTGACATATTTCATAGAATTTTCTTGGATTTATTTTTGTCCTTGCTGGAGTTTCTCAAAGAGGGTCTCAGTTTGGTAAGCCTTCTGAGTTTTAGTATGCCTGCAGCTAAATTTATTTTATCCTTATATTATAATGTTATTTTATCTCTGTAAATTCTAGTTTCAAAGTTTTGGGTTTTTTTCTTTCTCACTTTGAAACTATCTTCCCAGTATCTTCTGGTTTCTAGTGCTGATTTTGAAAAGTCAGATGTTCACCTGGTTCTTGTTCCTTTGTAGGTAGTCATTCTTTCTAGAAACTTTCATATTTTTGTTTCCGGCAGTCTTAATATTTACTATAATTTGCCTAGTCTGTGAGAATTTTCTCAGATATTTGGCACTCACTCTGAGCAATTTCAGGCTGAATTTTTTCTTTAATTCTGAGAAATTCCTAGATTCTTGTCTTTATTTTCTCCTCTTTTTCTCCCTTTAGGACCTTTATAATATTGATACTGGTATTTCTACTTCTGTTTTCCTTAAATTTTCTTTTATGTTTTCTCTATCATCATCCCTTTCATCCTGAAAAATTCCCTGTTTGGGAATTCTTTAATCTGATCTTCCAGCTTACTAATACATTCTTTAGTTATTGAATCTTATACCTAATCCATCAGGCTAATTCTTTGTTTCAGATACTGATTTCTCTAAATCAGGGATTCCAGTTGGATTTTCTTCATGACACTTTTCCACTACAACTTTAAGTATCCTCTTTTTTAAAAACTGGCTTATTATAATTTCCTTTTTTTTTTTTTTTTTTCCAAGATCTTGTTTTTAAGGGGCACCTGGGTGGCTCAGTCTGTTAAACATCTACCTTTGGCTCAGGTCATGATCCCAGGTCCTGCATCTGGCTCTCTGCTGTGCTCTCTCTATCTGATACAAAAATAAAATCTTAAAAAAAAGAAAAAAGAGGGGCACCTGGGTGGCTCAGTGGGTTAAGCGTCTGCCTTCAACTCAGGTCATGATCTCAGGGTTCTGGGATCGAGCCCCGCATCAGGCTCTCTGCTCAGCAGGGAGCCTGCTTCCTCCTCTCTCTCTGCCTGCCTCTCTGCCTACTTGTGATCTCTATCTGTGAAATAAATAAATAAAATCTTAAAAAAAAAAAAAAGAAAAAAAGAGTAAAAAGATTTTAAGTAATCATCTCTACACCCAGTGTGAGGCTTGAACTTACAACCCTGAAAAAGTCACATGCTACACTGACTAAGCCAGCCTAGCACCACTATTTTAAATCCTTGTTTTGTCTGGTCCAAAATTCTGCTCTAAATTATCTAATTAGTCATCTGTTGTTTGCTGTTGTGTACTTTCAAATGTTCATCATTTTACCCCTAAAATTATTTACTGCCTTGTCTCTTCAAGACTTTGTTAGCCAAGAAATAACTGGTGAATGATATATTTTTATTCCAATGAATTTTATATAAAACAAATGGGACTGTGCTCACTTCGGCAGCGCATATACTAAAACAAATGGGACTTAAAATCAACTAAATTTAGCAAGATATTTAATGTTTTTAATTTCAAGAATAAAATTTTTTCCTCAATAACTTGTTTAGCTCTGATGATACTAAAATTTAGGTTATTTATACTTCTTTCTTAAGCAAGTCTATGTTGCTGTCCTATACCAGGCCTATTATTAGAAAAGTGATAATTTGCAAGTTTTTATTATTAAATAGACACCACTTATCTGGTTTGGGGCTATGGTGGTAGGAATAATTTCTTCCACTGCCATTAAGAAGTAAGGTTTTTGGATTCCTGGGTGGCACAATTTGTTAAGCATCTGACTTAGGCTCAGGTCACGATCCCAGAGTCCCAGGATGGATTCCCACCCACATCAGACTCCCTGCTCAGTAGAGAACCTGCTTCTCCCTCTGACCCTCCTTGTCTCATTCTCTCTCAAAAATCAAAATCTTAAAAAAAAAAAAAAAATCAAGTTGTCCTTTCATTAGAGTAGATCCTGGCACTGCACCTTTTCTCCCTCTCTCCTTTGGTGTTCATCCCCAGAAGCAACTCTGCGTATTACATACGTTCAGTCAGCCACATTTATTTTTAAATTACATTACATAAATTAAATTACATTAGTAATTCAGTAAGTAATTCAGTCAGCCACATTATTTTTAAATGACATTACATAAATTAATTTACATTATTATTATATATATAAAAGTCTTCATGTTCAAGAGGTAAATTATAGGAATATATTGCTATGTACAGCTTATTATCAACCAAGCTTTTTTTTTTTTTTTTTAAAGATTTTATTTATTTATTTGACAGAGAGAGATCACAAGTAGACAGAGAGGCAGGCAGAGAGAGGGAGGGAAACAGGCTCCCTGCCAAGCAGAGAGCCCGATGCGGGACTCGATCCCAGGACCCTGAGATCATGACCCGAGCCGAAGGCAGCGGCTTAACCCACTGAGCCACCCAGGCGCCCCTATCAACCAAGCTTTTAATAGACTCTTGAGGGTCAGCAGTTGCTAGTTGTAAGGTAATTGGAAGCAAGAAATAGCTGTAGACAGATTATTAAGCAGATAGCATTAATAATATCATACCTCATCTTTTTTTCCCCCTAGGTCATCTCCTCTTAAACTGACCCTTTGAACTTTTCTTTCCTGCCATCCTCTTCACCATGTCCTATATCCTCATGACCAGGATAATAAATCTGTAGCCAAATCCTATAATAGACATCACTAATTTATGACATGTTTTTTGCCTGCCAAGCCTTGCATATGCCCTTAGAATCCTCAGTACAGTATTTCACAGAGCCAGTTAGAGTGATCACTAAAGATGACACCTCATTGTCATTTCTATTTTATCAGACTCTTTTTCCAACTAGACTCTGACATTAACTAGACTATGACATTAACTTACTCGTGCTATATTTTTTTTGAAGGTTGAAAAGGACTAAAGATAGACTAGCAAGTGAAGGTGTTTCCTATTTTCCAAGAGACACTTTCCTGCCCTCCTCTTACTTTTTAAAACCCTTTTATATCACTCCTGTCTTTGTTTCTCTGTGTGGTGTTTCTCCAGCTGTGGTGTTTCTCCTCCTTTCTACCTAATTAGTTTACACAGGGAAATTAGTACATGTCTGTTAAACATATGAACAAGATTTTGATTCTGTGGTGGGTGAAAAGGACATTTTTTTACTTTCCAGATGGTGTGATGTACATTTTTTTTTCCATCCTCCTGTTTAGATTTTTTTGTAGAAGATTAGGTGCCACCAAATCTCTAGAAGGTGTTTGTTTTGTTTGTTTGTTTGTTTGTTTTTTAAAGATTTTATTTATTTGACAGAGAGAAATCACAAGTAGGCAGAGAGGCAGGCAGAGCGAGAGGAGGAAGCAGGCTCCCCGCGGAGCAGAGAGCCCGATGCGGGGCTCAATCCCAGGACCCTGAGATCATGACCCGAGCCGAAGGCAGAGGCTTTAACCCACTGAGCCACCCAGGCGCCCCGAAGGTGTTTGTTTTGAATGCCTTCTTCCTGGAACTAAGCAATCATCACCTACTGCTAAAAAGAGGTAGTAAATTTGAGAAAGGACAAAATAAAAAGAAATGGCTTGTAGGGCAAACAGGTATTACCCTATTTTTGTTCATGATTCAATATCAGCTAAGTACTTGAAAAATATTAATGCAAAAGACAGAGAGAGTGGACCATCCTTAAGTGTGCCATTTGTATCCCCATTACTGTAGTATATGTCCTAACCACATCATGATACTTGTTCTTCACAACCAGGCATTGACCTCATCTACTTAGGAAGACAATAAGGTTTGAAAGGGTAAACAATTGCCCAAAAGCAAGCAGCAGCTAGTAAGTGGTAGAGTTGGAACTCCACTCCAACTGTCTCTGACTTCAAACCTTATACCACTCCTTCCCATCTAACCGTATAGGAAATATTAGCAGATTTTATCCTTTTTTTTTGTAGCCTTTATATTGTATCCTTTTTAATTTGGGCAATAATTACATAGAGACATGTTTTAATGTTTTATAAGTTACTTGAGCCACTGGAAGTATGGCTAAAAGAAATGATAGGCATCTGAGACAAATAGTTTTCTGAGCCTTTGAGGCAGTATAGCCCAGAGTTGTAGAACAGTGTTGAGCCTGTTGTCAAATCCTGGCTCCACTGCTGCCTCACACTGTGCAAGCTTCTTTTCTCAAATCAACCATGGTGGTTTTGAGGATTAAATGTGGTAATAACACATAGAATACCTGCCAAATAGCAAGCATTTCATTTATGAAAATGAACAGTGTATGTGGTATCGTTATATATTTACTGTATCATGTTAACTACCTACCTTTCCATGAGATTCTGAGAACTTTCACGGACTTAAAATTACACATTACTCTAAAGATACTTCATACCTCCTGTGCTATTATCTGTAGAGCAATAACAAATATTACCTCTACTCTTCATATTAGTTTTCATATTTTGGTTAAATATCATAATATATAATCACTACTATTCGAGACATCCTATAGTGGTTGAATATCTCCTGATCAGGAATATTTGCCTCACCAGAGGATTTCAATTATTTCTAGAATGAGTCCAAAAATCTGTTTAGGCAAAGGATACTTGAAATAATAGCAGTAGACACTGAACTGCAGTAGAATTTACCAGTGCCTTTATTTTAACTTTCTGTTGTATGAAAATGCAGAATCCATATTCGATAATTAAAACATTTGCTATCTCTTCTTTTTCAGAAGATGAATAATCTTTCATTTAGTGAGCTATGTTGCCTCTTCTGCTGTCCACCTTGCCCTGGGAAAATTGCTTCAAAATTAGCGTTTTTGCCACCCGATCCTACTTACACGTTGATGTGTGATGAAAGTGGAAGCCGCTGGACTTTACATCTATCAGAACGAGCAGACTGGCAATACTCTTCTAGAGAAAAAGATGCTATTGAGTGTTTCATGACTAGAACCAGTAAAGGCAACAGAATTGCCTGCATGTTTGTGCGTTGTTCACCCAACGCCAAATACACTTTACTCTTCTCACATGGAAATGCTGTTGATCTCGGGCAGATGAGCAGCTTTTACATAGGACTGGGATCACGGATTAATTGTAATATATTCTCATATGATTATTCTGGATATGGCGCAAGTTCTGGGAAACCAACAGAGAAGAACCTCTATGCAGATATCGAAGCTGCTTGGCTTGCTCTTAGGACAAGGTAAATCGTGATTGGAAATTATTTTGCACATTTATTATGATGGTTAACTTAAATTGTCTTATATTTAAAAAGTAGTTTTTATAACACATGTTTTGAAGTACTAAATAGAGATGATATTAACCAATATATACCTATTAAGAATTAAGCTCTTAGGAGTGCCTGGGTAGCTCAGTCATTAAGGCTCAGTGGGAAGCCTGCTTCTTCTTCTCTCACTCCCTCTTCTTGTGTTCCCTCTCACTGTGTCTCTCTCTGTCAAATAAATAAATTTAAAAATCTTTTTAAAAAGAAAGAAAAGAAGCTCTTAGATTATAATTTTAAATTTTTAAAAATAGCATATTTTTTTAAGTGATTTTATTTTATTTTTTTTAAGATTTTATTTATTTGAGAGAGCACAAGCCAGGGAAGAGAGAGACAAGCAGGCCTCCTATGAGCAAGGAGCTGGATGTGAGGCTCGATTCTAGGACCCTGAGATCATGACCTCTGAGCTGAAGGCGGATGCTTAACTGACGGAGCCACAAAGGCACCCCAGAATTACATAGCTTTTTTTTGTTTTGTTTTGTTTTTAAAGATTTTATTTATTTATTTATTTGACAGACAGAGATCACAAGTAGGCAGAGAGGCAGGCAGAGAGAGACGGGAGGAAGCAGGCTCCCTGCAGAGCAGAGAGCCTGATGCGGGGCTCGATCCCAGGACCCTGGGATCATGACCTGAGCCAAAGGCAGAGGCTTTAACCCACTGAGCCACCCAGGCGCCCCAAGAATTACATAGTTTTTAAGACAGATCTTATTTGTGTCTGTTAGTGCATGTGTGTGATTTTCTTTAAAATTTAAGCCAATGACAAATACTTGGTTTTATAAACATGTAGAGTGTGGTATAAAAATGTTTATTCAAAGTTGCAGTGCAACATTTCAAGGGATGAGAAATAACTGACTTAGCTAATGATTTACTTAATCTATCATTAAGAGTATAAGAGGCTGGATTTTTTTTTTTTAAATCATAAACCAGGGTTTGCACTATTTTATGTAGTAATCTCTTAGAAGTATGACTTACAGGTATTTTATTGGAATTAATTTTAAAGTATTCATTCTGTAAAAGTGAGATTTTTTTACTTTGCATTCTGGACTAATAAAATTTGGAAACATGATCTCATGTAAAGAAAAGGTAATTTATGATAAATCTTTTTTCTTTTTAAGATTTTATTTATTTGAGAGAGAAAGAGACAGAGCGAGCACAAGCTGGGGGAACAGCAGGCAAAGGGGCTCCTCTGCTGAGAAACAGAGCAAGCAGGCTCCCTGGTGAGCAGCAAGGAGCGTGATGTGGGACATGGGACTAACTGACTGAGCCACCCAGGCGCCCTGTGATAAATCATTTAAGCAAATTCTCTTATCATTTCAGTTATTCTTTAGTTATAACAATGCATTTTTGAGAGCTAGAAATTGCTTTAATCTTTCCTAGTCATCAGTATTGAAAAATATTGCTGTTTTGTAGATTTCTGGTTTTTTTCCATCAGATGGTTCATGTCAATAAAGATGTCTTAGTTCAAGTTGTTCCTCATATTATCCACTGATAAGCTACCTGATTTCCAAAGTATTTTAAACTAAAGCTAAAGGACTCAAAGAAAACTTATCATTCATAATTTAATGTTTAAATATTAATGGTTTTAGTTAGAACCTCCACAATTTTGTTAGTAGGCATAACCTTTTTTAGAAAATAATTTTTGAAGCATTTAATCCTATAAGATACATAATAAAACTATGTTCTCATAACAACGTTTCATATAAAGAGGTTTCTTAAATCATTTGAAATTATATAAAAACATCCTAATGAGTTAGAAAAGATGGTGAATGATACAAAAGTTGGTAATGAGTTGTGGGGGACAGGAAATGGTAAAAATTTATAAACTTAAAAACTGCCTTGGGCTCCTGGGTGGCTCAGTTGGTTAAGCAGCTGCCTTTAGCTCAAGTCATGATCTCAGAGTCCTGGGATGGAGTCTGCATTGGGATCCTTACTCAGCAAGGAGTCTGCTTCTCCCTCTCTCTCTGCCTGTTCCTCCCCCTGCTTGTTCTCGATCTCTCTCTCTCTCTCTCTGTGTCAAATAAATAAAATCTTAAAAAAAAAAAAATGGGGTTACTAATCTAACAAAAGAGAAATATTTAAAAAAAAAAAAAATGCCTTAAATGACCAGAGTCAAAATCTGTTTCAGGTATAATGATGTCAGTCCCCTCAGTTGTACAAACAAAAATAAATGAGTTCCCACTTTCCAGACTCAGCCAATTGAATCTAGTTATAGTACCTGTCAGGAAAATATAATAATTATTTTTAATGACAGCTTTATTGAGATACAACTCATTTTAAAGTATAACTTCAGTGGATTAGAACAGCTTTTAAGGATGCTAAGTTCTAGCAGATAGCCTTCATTATTAGTGCTTCTCAATAACATGAAAAGATAACTTTATTCAACCAGAACATACTAGTATTCAATTCAGTGTTCTAGGTATATGTTATAAAAAATAAAACCTTGTAGGTGGTTAACTTCTTCCTATTTTTCATCTCGTTTGATCACTTTGAAGGAAACTTTATAAAATAATTTCTAGTCTTGATTTAATTCATCTTTTTAAACAAAGTTGACCACACATACTTAATGAATGAGAAACAAGGGCCGAATAGATGAATTTCTAAGTAGTACAACAGTTTTTGAGCTCATTATCTGTATGTTATTGAAAAGTCACTGGCCTAGGAGTTAGGGTACCTGGGTTCTAATTATAGGTCTGCCACTGACTTATTCTGACTTTTTTTTTTTTTTTAACCTTTTTTTTTTAAGATTATTTATTTATTTATTTATTTGACAGACAGAGATCACAAGTAGGCAGAGAGGCAGGCAGAGAGAGAGGAAGGGAAGCAGACTCCCTGCTGAGCAGAACGCCTGATGCGGGGCTCGATCCCAGGACCCTGGGATCACAACCTGAGCCAAAGGCAGAGGCTTTAACCCACTGAGCCACCCAGGTGCCCCCCCCTTTTTTTTTTTAAAGATTTTATTTATTTGACAGAGATCACAAGTAGGCAGAGAGGCAGAGAGAGAGAGGAGGAAGCAGGCTCCCCGCCGAGCAGAGAGCCCGATGCGGGGCTCGATCCCAGGACCCTGGGATCATGACCTGAGCCGAAGGCAGAGGCTTTAATCCACTGAGCCACCCAGGCGCCCCTTATTCTGATTTTGAACATCTACTTTGTAAGCAGCTGAATTAGATTAGATAGTCTTTAAAGTCCAAGTTGTACTTTTCTGAAATTCTGTTACTGCTTTGAGTTCTCTGATGCTAAATTGGCATCTCCTTCTACTCTGGAGCCTTGCCATTGCTAACATTAGCATAAAACCCGTAGTTACCATCCAGCAGTTCTGCTATTCAGCTAAGAGCAACCACACAGCCTCAAGAGTTAATGCTGATGATGGAAGTGTTCATTCTCTTCTTCTTCTTTTTTTTTTTTTAAGATTTTATTTATTTATGTGGCAGAGAACACAGCAAGAGAGTGAACACAAGCAGGGGGAGTGGGAGAGGGAGAAGCAGGCTTCCCACTGAGCATGGAGCCCGATGCAGAACTTGATCCCAGGACTCTGGGATCATGACCTGAGCTGATGGCAGATACTTAATGACTGAGCCACCCAGGCACCCCTAAGTGTTCATTTTTGTAACTTAACTCCAGTGAAGAATTACAGTCAGGTCTTGTAAAGAAAAAGACTTTTCTCTCTCTCTCTCTCTCTCTCTTTTTTTTTTTTTTTAAGATTTTATTTATTTATTTGGCAGCGAGAGAGTGACGACAAGGACAGGAACATGAGCAGGGGGAGTGGGAGAGAGAAAGCAGACCTCCCACTGAGCAGGGAGCCTGATTTGGGGCTTGATCCCAGAATGCTGGGATCATGACCTGAGCCAAAGGCAGTTGCTTAACCAACTGAGCCACCCAGGCGCCCTGTTTTTTCATATTTAGATACTTGGAAAGCTACATTACCTTTTCCAAAAACCAGATGCTGTTGTGCAAATGGCCCTTAGCATCCATAAGTGACTGCTTTCAGGCTTTTAAAGTGGAAAAGCATATTTGATCTTACTCTAACTTCTAACCCCACATTCATTAGCTCCTATAGCACTTCATTTCTGCTTGCAATAGTTTACATTTGGGACAATTATACCATAAACAAGTAACAGTGCTTGGAACATAGATTATATCTGATATATTTGAGGCAAGAGTTGACGTATTTAAATCTGCAGCTTGCTTTATTTATTTATTTATTTATTTATTTATTTGACAGACAAAGATCACAAGTAGGCAGAGAGGCAGGCAGAGAGAGAGGAGGAAGCAGGCTCCCTGTTGAGCAGAGAGCCTGATGCGGGGCTCCATCCCAGGACCCTGGAATCATGACCTGAGCCAAAGGCAGAGGCTTTAACCCACTGAGCCACCCAAGCACCCCTGCAGCATTTTTGAAGGAGATAAAGCAATACTCGAGATTTTAGCATGAAGTTTGTTCATAATTAACTGAATCAAAGTATTTGAAATTCTCTTTGATATCTTTATCTTTCCAATCATTAGTCCATAGTAAAGGCAACTTTAAAAAAAATAGTAATTTATTTTCAGCTAAAATGTATATATATTTTATTCCATATAGTAACCATATGTAGCCCTTTTCATCACTGTAACCAACTTCAAAAAATAAAAAGGGGCACCTGGGTGTCTCAGTCGTTAAGCGTCTGCCTTCGGCTCAGGGTATGATCCCAGGGTCCTTGGAAGAAGCCCCACATTAGGCTCCCTACTCAGGGCAGGCTTCCCCCTCTTCCACTCCTTCTTGTGTTCCCTCTCTCACTGTATCTCTCTGTCAAATAAATAAATAAAAATACCTTTAAAAAATAAAATGAACCACTTTTGAGGTGTAGACAAAGAACTTTTCTTATATAGGATGGAAAATAAATAGTCTATTAAACATCAGTCTACTAAAATATTAGTGATGTGGGGCGCCTGGGTGGCTTACCCATTAAGCGGCTATGTTTGGCTCAGGTCATGATCCTGGGGTTCTGGGATCGAGCCCCAACATTGGGTTCTCTGCTCAGTGGAAAGCCTGCTTCTCCCTCTCCCACTCCCCCTGCTTGTGTTCCCTTTCTAGCTGTGTGTCTCTCAGTCTCTCTCTCTCTCTCTCTCAAATAAATAAATAAATAAATAAATAAAATCTTTTAAATAAGTAAAATATTAGTGATTATGCCACATTGAATTACATGAGTTATTCAATGAATTCATTTAAGTTTGAAATTTTAAAAGACCTCAGCAATTGTTTTTCCAAAAGATGAAACAGATGAAATAGACTAAGAATATAGATTTTATTGTAGCAGTAAACATGATAATGATGGCTAAGAAACATATTTTAAATATAAAGTTGGCATTGTCCCATTCTAAATCGTTCTATTACAAGATTAAGTCCTTAGAAAATGATTGAATATTTCATACCAGTCCAACTCTCCACCTTTTTTTTTTTTTTTTTTTTTTTTTTTTTTTAATTTCTGAACTTTATAGATACGGCATTCGCCCTGAAAATGTGATTATATATGGCCAGAGTATAGGGACAGTACCATCTGTGGATCTTGCTGCTCGGTATGAGAGTGCTGCTGTTATTCTTCATTCTCCTTTGACTTCGGGAATGCGAGTTGCTTTTCCTGATACCAAGAAGACCTACTGTTTTGATGCGTTCCCAAAGTAAGTATCAATATTCAAAATCGTTTAATTCAAAGAAACTTTTAAGGGCGTTTATGTCCATCACCTAAGGTATTCATAATGCAGTTCATTAAGGCATGAACTTCTCTTTCACATATATTATAGAATTAGTGAAAAATTAATTTTTGAGAAGGGTGGTGGCAGGAGCCCAGTCAGGAGGCTGAAATATTGGAGCAATAGTAATCCTGATGAAAATAGCTGAGGGTCTTATACCCCAGAGAGTGGCATTGACTTAATTTGAGAAATGAAATCGACAGAACTGAGTGTCAAGAGTGAATAGAGGATGCTAAACAAAAGAACTTGAGTATAATTCCCAGGATTCTGACTTGAGCTGCTAATGAATAATGGTACCATTCAGTGAGACATAATACTGGCGTAGAGGAAGAGTAAAGGGAAAATGAGACATGTGCATAAAAATTAGTGAATGGCATCTAATTAATGATAGCTGATTTATAAAAGAAGTGAATTGCAAAAAAGTTCTGTCTTAAATTAGCTTAAGTGTTGCCACCACAAAGTCTGCAAACACAGTTTTACTCAAATTTGAAAGGAGGACTACTTCTCAAGACAAGATGGAAGTTCCTCTTGCTCCTCTTGATAACTAGAAACACCTGGTGGCCCATTTTCCTCAGAGAAGGCAAATGGGAGAATCTGGCAATTTCGGTCATATTTCCTTTCCCCAATTGGCAGCTATACAGAGATTTTTTTGTGACTGATAGATGGGCCAAAGGCCAGAGTCATTACTTGCTTTTTTATAAAAACAAGGGTCATTTCCCCAGCAATTGCACTACTGGGTATTTATCCTAAAGATACAAACGTAGTGATCCGAAGGGGCACGTGCACCCGAATGTTTATAGCAGCAATGTCCACAATAGCCAAACTATGGAAAGAACCTAGATGTCCATCAACAGACGAATGGATAAAGAAGATGTGGTATATATACACAATGGAATACTATGGAGCCATCAAAAGAAATGAAATCTTGCCATTTGTGACGACGTGGATGGAACTAGAGGGTATCATGCTTAGTGAAATAAGTCAATCAGAGAAAGACAACTATCATATGATCTCCCTGATATGAGGGAGAGAAGATGCAACATGGGGGGTAAGGGGGTAGGAGAAGAATAAATGAAACAAGATGGGATTGGGAGGGAGACAAACCATAAGTGACTCTTAATCTCACAAAACAAACTGAGGGTTGATGGGGGGAGGGGGGTTGGGAAAAGGGGAGTGGGGTTATAGACATTGGGGAGGGTATGTGCTATGGTGAGTGCTGTGAAGTGTGTAAACCTGGCGATTCACAGACCTGTACCCCTGGGGATAAAAATATATGTTTAAAAAAAAAATAAAATAAAATTTAAATAAAAAAAAAAAAAAAAACAAGGGTCATTTCAAAAGCAAATTTTTTCATCATTAGCCAGACAGTGATCACTTTCTTAGGGAAACTAATGGTGGGAGCATATGAGCAGGCTGTGGGAGTTTTTTTGTTGTTGTTGTCCTTAGATTAATTTAGGGTTTGTTGTTTTAGATAATGGTATATTGGAAGGTATGTGCATTATACTGCTTCTGTCTAATAGAAAAGTAAGAATGATAGAGGGAGTATTTGGGGTAATACTTTTGCCATCCTGTATCTCTCTCCAGCTCACTCTTTCATTTCTGCTACACCAACAAAGATAGCTGTACTTAACTGCAAACTGTTTGAAAAAGAACATAGATTTCTTTTTATTTGTTGTAATTCCTTTACTATCGAACATGTGATAGCAAATAACATAGCCAACCAAGCATTTTTCCTTAACAAATGCAGCCTTGAATTATTTCATTGATTTCCTTTTTCAAGATTGTATCCTCATTTTATAATGCCTTCTTTCTCTCTGGAAAGATTTTTTTTTTTAAGCATTAAAATTTGTTTGTAAGGTCTCTGTGCAGTTTATGTCTCTTTTAAGTTGCCTTTTTAAAATTGTTTTGATCTCTGACTGATACTTGAAGTGTTCTCTGATGTCTGATAATTCTTGTTGTCTCCTCATATGTAAGAGTGAGGAACTAAAGAGCTAATATGAAGCAGGTGATTAAGCCTTGTTGAGTGCGAGCTTCACTATACAGTCATCTGGTCAAATCAGTTACTTGGGGATCCCACCCTATGTCACTATTTCTATCTTTCCTCTTAAAGTGTATATAATATAGTCTCCAACAAGGAGTCTTTCTAAAAGTCCTCTCTGGAGGAATGAGGGCCTGGCTGCCAGCATTCTGGGGACCCAGTACAGAAAATGGGTTCGTAGCAGCAGTATGTGTGTTTACCTCTTGCTTCAAACTGTTCTTGCAATTCCCTGATCCACAAAACCTTCAGTTTTGGGTAGAGAGCCGCTACCATTTTTACAAAAAGAAGGGGAAAGAGTCTGGAGGAGAGAGACCTCTTTATTAAACAGACTTTGTTTTTTTAATGTAATGTTAGTCACCATACAGTACCTCATTAGTTTTTGATGAAGTGTTCCATGATTTGTTGTTTGTGTATCCAGTGCTCCGTGCAATCCGTGCCCTCCTTAATACCCATCACCAGGCCAACCCATACCCCCACCCCCTCCCTTTTAAAACCCTCAGTTTGTTTCCCCGGAGTCCATAGTCTCATGGTTCTGTCTCCCACTCCCGATTCCCCCCACCTTCATTTTTCCCTTTCTTCTCCTGATGTCCTCCATGCTATTCCTTATGTTCCACAAATACGTGCAGCCGTATGATAATTGACTTTCTCTGCTTGACTTAACTTCTCCTAGCATAATCTCCTCCAGTCCTACCCAGGTTGTTGCAGAGGTTGTGTATTCATCCTTTCTGATGGCTGAGTAATAATTCCATTGTACATATGGATCACATCTTCTTTATCTATTTGTCTGTTGAAGGGCATCTCAGCTCTTTCCACCATTTGGCTATTGTGGACATTGCTGCTATGAACCTTGGGTTGCATGTGGCCATTCTTTTTAGTACATCTGTATCTTTGGGGTAAATACCCAGTAGTGCAATTGCTGAGTCATTTATTTTTAATTGTTGAGGAACCTCCACACTGTTTTCCAAAGTGGCTGCAACAACTTGGGTTTCCACCAACAGTGTAAGAGGGTTCCTCTTTTCCACAACCTCTCCAACATTGGTTGTTTCTCACCTTGTCAATTTTTGCCATTCTTACTGGTGTAAGGTGGTATCTCAATGTGGTTTTGATTTGAATTTCCCTGATGGCTAATGATGATGAACATTCTTTCGTGTGTCCGTTAGCCATTTGTATGTCTTTTTGGAGAAGTGTGTGTTCATGTCTTCTGCCAGTTTTTTGACTTACTTGTTTTTTAGGTGTTGAGTTCGAGAAGTTCTTTATAGATCTTGGATTTCAGCCCTTTATCGTAGTGTCATTTGCAAATATCTTCTCCCATTCTGTGGGTTGCCTCTTTGTTTTGTTGACTGTTTCCATTGCTGTGCAGAAGCTTTTTATCTTGATGAAGTCCTAAAAGTTCATATTTGCTTTTGTTTCCCTTGCCTTTGGAGACATGTCTTGAAAGAAGTTGCTATGGCCAATATAAAAGAGATTACTGCCAATGTTCTGCTAGGATTTTGATGGATTCCTGTCTCACATTGAGGTCTTTAATCCATTTTGAGTGTATCTTTGTATATGATCTAAGAGAATGGTAGAGTTTCATCCTTCTGTGTACAGCTGTCCAGTTTTCCCAGCACCATTTATTGAAGAGACTTTTTTTTTTCCATTGGATATTTTTTCCTGCTTTGTTGAAGATTAGTTGACCGTAGAGTGGAGAGTTCATATCTGAGCACTCTCTTCTGTTCCACTGATATATGTGTTTGTTTGTGTGCCCGTACCATGCTACCTTGGTAATCACAGCTTTGTAATACAGCTTAACATCAGGCAATGTGACGCCCCCAGCTTTTTCTTTTTAAACATTTCCTTGGCAATTTGGGGTCTTTTTTGGTTCCATATAAATTTAAGGATTGTTAAACAGACTTTGAACTAATTCTGTAAACTCCTCTATCACCTGCCTTCATCCCCATATCAATTCCTAGCCTTCTGGGATATCCCATGGTATAAATTGGATTTTTTCTTCAGTTTACCTTGTATCCCCTTAAAATTGGCTTTTTCCCACAATTTCATTCTGTTATCCCACTCATTTATCTGCCTTCCAGCTCCAAAATTTTATGTTGTATTACATTCTCCCTATTTTTGTGAGTTGATAACCTCAAAACAAAAACAAAAAAAGATTTTGCTTTCATTTTAGTAGATTAAGGGGGAAGAAAAAAATAAGAGTGCAGAGCTATGAAGTTAGCACATACCTGAATAGTCCTTAGTTTCCTCCTCTCCTTCCAACCTACATTTGTGCTAAACATTGTTTGGGGTGCCTTCGGCTGAGGTCATGATCGCAGGGTCCGGGGATTGAGCCCCACATCAGGTTCCCTGCTCAGCAAGGAGTCTCTTTCTCCCTCTGCCTCTCCCCTGCACCCAACTTGTGCTTTATCTCTTGCTCTCAAATAAATAAAAATAAATAAATAAATCTTTAAAAAAAAAAAACAACATTGTAGAAAGGTGCAGTAGGTTGCCAGTAACCATTGAATGATTCCCTCAAAACAGAAGTGCATGAAGTTAGGCAATCTTAAGGAGTATGTAAAGTAACTTTTAAATCTTACTTGAAATCCAAGAAGCATCCGTTTCTTCTGAGTTGATTCAAGGACCATTCTGATATTTGAATGATCTGTCGGAATATCACAAGAAAGTATGTTTTATGTTCCTTTTCATAGCTAATTCATTGACTTTATCCCCCTTTCTTTTACAGCATTGACAAAATCTCTAAGATAACCTCTCCGGTATTAATAATTCATGGGACTGAAGATGAAGTCATTGACTTTTCACATGGCCTCGCACTGTTTGAGCGTTGCCAAAGACCTGTGGAGCCTCTGTGGGTTGAAGGGGCAGGTCACAATGATGTGGAACTTTATGGACAGTACCTTGAAAGGTTGAAACAGTTTGTGTCACAGGAACTGGTAAATTTGTAAAATATTCTGTAAATTTGCATACTGGGTTTTCTTTTCTTGCTGAACTGCACTCTTTGGTAAATAACATAAAACCTGAAGGTTTTGTTTGCAAATCATGTCAGTTGCCTTCATAAATGTACAGGTAATGATTTGTTAACAGACTTAATGAAGGTTTTTATTACCAGAACTAGAAACTGGAAATAACAGTATCATGCAGTCAGGCTGTGTAATTTATATTTTTTTCTGTGAATTTTTTTTAAACATCAAAATGAGTACTGTATGAAATTTTAATTCTATAAAATCAAATGCTGTAAAAGTATTGCCAAATGCTTTTGCATATCAAATTTATAGATATTTTTAAAACATCTCAACATACTAAATCTTATCCAGGTATACAAATGTAATATTCTTCAATACAAAGCTGTATATCTAAAACAGTTCAAGTACTCATAATAGAATAAACTGTATGAAAACGTGCAAATTCACTAGAGATGACCTAAACCCTGTTGTACAGGGATTGAGGTTTAAACAGTTATTTTATTGTAAAATACATTGAACTTTCTGTATTCCCTGGTTATCATACATTTTCTCCTTTTAAAAAATGATGTAAGTCTTAATTTTTATGCCATCTGTTAATTTACCAACTAGTTACCTTGTAAATGAGAAGTCATGATAGCACTGAATAAATCTTAACTAGTTCTGATTTATAGGTTTGGTACTATGAGGCAACTACTTAAAATTCTTGTTTTTATTATTTAAAAAGGCATTTAGAGCTTCAAGAATGATTTTGTACGCAATGTTGTTTTAAATTTTGACTAATCTCATAGAATTGCAGTACTCTTCATTATAAGAAAACCTGAAGAGTCCATTTGATGTTCTTCAAGACCACAAACAGGCTGGCTATTTGGTTGTTTCTCACCTTGGCTATTTTTAATAGGATCTGTTGTTTTAGATTACTATCTGAGAATTTCATGGATTCACTCCTGGAATACAGGAGATAAGAGAACATTTAATTCATAACTTTTATATTAACCAATGTAGTAGAAAATAAAACTGACACACAAAAACTAAGTTGCCTTTCCTTGAATGAATCCTGCCTGAATAAAACAATGAAAGAAAAATAAAAATAAAATTAACGGTATGTAGTCTAATTTGTAAATGAATGAATATTGAAATAATACACACTGTGGATATATTTTAAGGCCTTATGTAGTTTTAATTGTTCTGCTTGTTCTGTGGTTATGTCTAAGACTATAGTATATGATTCTCTTCAAAGTATATCAAGTATTGTGAATGCTTTGGTTCAGATGTGTCAAATTAACAGTAAAACAACAAATATACCACCCAGCTGTGCTTGTTTGCCTTCTTCCATGCTTCCCATCCCTTACCATAAAGACTGAAAACTTTTACCATTCATCTTTATAGAACATAGTTGTGTAGTTTTCTCATCACTTCTTCTTTTGGAGAGGTTTCTTCTCAAGATTGTTGTGGAGCTACTGTACAGTTCCTTTTTTTATACAACCTGCACCCCAGAGTTTACCTATGTGTTTTCTTTGATTACTTGTTAAATTTAAAATATTGATTATACTAATTCAGTATTGATTCATTCAACAAATATTTATTGAATGTCTAAATCATGTAATACTCTATGCCAGCTAAAGGTAGACATGGACCATGTTCTCATAGACTTCACAGTATAACCGAGGACACGGATACCTAATATTAGTGTTTGGATAAGGGCTGAGGAAGATTTGTAGCTTATTATAACAGGTTAATTGTACTTTATGGAGGGGAACATGTGGAGAAGTCCAAGGAAGAGTTTCACAAAGTGATACTGGATACAAATTTATTATTTTTTTTTAAGATTTTATTTACTTATATGACAGACAAGTAGGCAGAGAGGCAGGCAGAGACAGAGAGAGGAGGAAGCAGGCTCCCCGCTGAGCAGAGAGCCTGATGCGGGGCTCGATCCCAGGACCCTGGGATCATGACCTGAGCTGAAGGCAGAGGCTTTAACCCACTGCGCCACCCAGGCGCCCCTGGATACAAATTTTGAAGGATGACTCAACCCGGTGGCCAAGGGAAATCATTGCTAGCTGAAGGGAACAGTATGTGCAAGCCTAGAGGAAGGACAGTGCATTTGAAGTGTAAAAAGCCTGGCCAGAAGTCAAGGGGAACAGATGGCATAAAGATGAGGCTCACAAATTGGTTACGGGCACAATCATATGTGGTGTCATGGGCCCTGATTATTATCCTACATACAATAGAAAGCCATTGATAGGAATATGGAATTGCATTTATCAAGAGTTTACAGATGAAGGGAAAAAACCTGGGTATTTTTAGTTTGCTAGAAATAATGTGAGCCAGTTGTAATTGCCTGCAATTTTAGGATGCAGAAATATTAACCATGGGGCAATAATCTCATACAAAAGGCTAGTCAAACCACATCTGTAAATATTAATTTCATTTCAAGATGCAATGAAAGGATATTCACAAATGAGAATAAATCCTGGAATGTTTTACCAAGTCGGAAAGAGTCCCACAAACCATAATCCAAAGACCAACTGGAGAATTATGTAATGATAGCTGTGTTCCGATATTTGAGAAACATGTACAGTTTATTCTTTTTGACTCAGTACAACTAGGTGAAAGTTCCAAAATGGCACATTAGAGCTCAGTGTGAAGAAGCAAATGGTTATATGTCCATGACAGACGGGGATTGCTTCCTCAGTGTCAAAGAGGATCTTATCACTAGGGAGAAGCAGAATGACATCTGCCCCAGTGCTTCAGAAGAAACTCCAGATTTAAATGTGAAGTTGAACTAGATGGACTGTGGATGTCACCTTTAAGATTTGATACTCCATTTAGATTTCTCCTACCTTTTCAGAGCATTGCCCGCGCCATGGCATCCAGAAGATAGTATCATGTAGAAGAATTGGCAAGGAGATCTGGGTTCTCTTCTCACCGGACACCAATTAGATCTGTGGCCTTGCCAAGTCACGTCTCTGGACCAGTTTCCTCACTAGAAATGAAGAGATGGAACTGATTGATTGATAATTATCTCTTATGTTTCTAATGTAATGAAAATCTCAACCCCATTCATCTGTAAAGACTCATACCGATTTTTAACCTGGGCTAGAATAGCCTCAAGTTAACTTATTTTGATAGTTCTCTTTTTTGTTCATACCAGCATGGTGGAATTTGGATGGTAACAGTAATCCTGGGGAAATGGTTGGCAGTGTACATAACTCCTGCCATATCTTCAAGTACAAAAGACAATATAATTGGTTTATAATCTATACACTTTTCCAGACTTCTGACTGACTTCAATTTACCACTTCTGTGTCCTACCTAAGAATGTATTACAGTAGGTTTTCTTAGTGATTTCTATAAATATTAGGTATTACTCAGTTTAAGAAAGCTTGAAACGTGAAAATAAATTTTTTTAAATTGCAAACTGCCATCAATTTCCTATAAATGGAAGGTTCTTGGTGCATTTAGACATTCCATATGACAAAAATAACTTTCTGAGAACAGGTATTATGGAAAGCCAGACAAACTCCAAAAATAAAACTTTAGATATGAAATAGCTTAATTCCTTCCTTTTACAGATGAGGAAACAAACCCAAAGAAGAGTAACATTGTCAAGATCTACAATATAATTGTCATTAGTTGTACTTACTATTTTCATAAAATTTACCTGGACTAATACCAATGATCCTTTTGAATTATAACAAAAACTCCTTGCTCTCCAATATTAATAATATTTTATTTTTAAAATGGCTTAGATTTCTTATCAGTTAATTATTCATTGTATACTAGGTAAATTGTACCTTTCACATTTATCAAATTAATGATTTATATATTTAAAGTATTTTAACACTAATCCATTTCCAGTAGGCTCAGTAACAGCTGTTTGGTTGTGTTAAAACAGTGAAGATTGTAGTCACATGAATAAACAGGTGTTTACTTAAATAACACTGAGAATAAGCAATTACATTGAAAAAAGTATCAAAGTGGTTATACTAAATGGTGATGGGTGGGCTTTTAATTTGTGTCCTAATTTTATTTTTTTAAAGATTTTACTTATTTGAAAGAGAGACCCCAAGATGGGGAGGCCATAGGGACTCCCCTCAGGATCATGACCTGAACCAGGATAGTCACTTAACTGACTGAGCCACCCAGGCCCCCCTGTTGTCTTAATTTTAAACAGGCATTATGGTTAAATACTATGGTAACATGTTATATTCTAATGATGATGTACATGCCAAGTGTGCAGTAACCAAAAAAGGAACTACACAGGATACCTGGTGTTGTGTTTTGAGTTATGCAGGATGCAGAGAGAAGACATTGGTCTACTACATGTCTAAGAGATTATGCATCTGACTGACTAGTTGAATGAGTAATACCAAGGAAGGAAGCAAATAGCTCAAGCTTGGAAATGACCCACTAGACATTAGTTTAAAAAAAAAAACAACCGGAAGCAAAGCGTAGAGTCTTTATAAATGTCACTGAGCTAAAAGCTATTAAAGTTGTTCTTTCATTAGAAACCCAGTGGATGAAATTATTTTGCTCTTTATCTGTAGGACATGTACTAAATTGGCATAATACCATTTTAACAGGAAAGAATGTTTTTAAGAGTATGCTTCTAACGAAATCCTTATTAGAGAACTATATTAAAATCATGGTGAAAATGGTATTTTTATTTTTATTTTTTTGAAATACTTATTTCACAGAGAAAGAGTGAGTGAGCACAAGCAGAGGGAATGGTAGAGGGAGAAGCGATCTCCCACCTGAGCAGAGAACCCAATGTGGAACTCGATCCCAGAACCCTGGGATCAACCAACTGAGGTGAAGGCAGAAGCTCAACCAACTGAGCCACACCCAGGTGCCCCGGAAAAATGCTATTTTTAAGTGATTTGTGATATTTTGTATCTGCTGATAAAATGCACATTTCAGCTATTGTCAGATTATTTCAAGGTTGAGTTTTGGGTTTTTTTTTTTTCCTCTCCCCTCCCCAAAGTTACTGCTTAAGATAGTGTATTGAATTGAGATAAGAAGGGTAGTAGGGTAGGTCTATGGATATAGGAGTGTCTGAATTTTAAAATGTTAAATGTACTGCCCTGTTCCAAATTATTCAAAGTATGGTGGATTCATGGACTAAAAATCAAGACTTCTAGTTAGCATTTTATCATATAAATACTCAGATGAAACTTTTATTTAAACAGTTTCAAATTCTGTAGATATATTCAAGTTTAAAGCTGGCATAATCCAGAGGTCATCTAGAGCTTCATGAGAGAGATTTTGCTGTTTTTTTCCCCCCAGCTCTTCTAAGTCTGGAAGTTTGGGATCCAGGCCATCTAAGTCCACCATAAGAAATTAGATTGGGCAAGGATTAGAGACCCAAGAAAGTGGCTTATAGATCTCTGAATACATGTGATGCTATTGAAAATGATAATTAAATTTTCTGAAGTATCTAATACAATCCCAATTGAAAAATGAAAATAGAAACTGTTATACCTCTGTAAAATTAAATGCTCATTGGATAAAAGAATGATTATATTGAGGTATTAGGATTATAGGTGAATTTTTTTTCCTTTCTTAGACATCCTCTACATTGCTATGTTGTTTTTGTAATTAGAAAAGAGGAAAAAAAAAAAAAAACTTGTTCTTATTTCCACTGTCCAAAATTAGCTGTTTTTTTAAAGTCTGGTCTTCTGAAACCAGGATCCCAGGATAAACCACAGAGAAGTAACTCCAAATAAGTTCTTAGCCTGGCTGTCAAAGTGACAAAAGCCAAAAAAGGATTCCTCGTACTTGGATGATGAGTTTTTTGTGGGTTTTTTGGGGAGGTTGGAGAGGGTGGTTGATAGGGAATATAACACTGTATAATAGTATCTAACATTATCTCAGTGAGCACCAAGTCTAATAAGTATTTTCTAGGCAATCCCCACATACTAGGTCTGTTAATGTTCCACACCTAACAATGCATTGTTAACAATTACTACTTTACCATCTGTGGTTGTTTCCTCATGTTGTTACAGCTTTGCTCACATTCACCTCTGGTGCTGTTGTTGGCAATTACACGTATATTACACTTCTATGTACATTACAGGCCCAATAGTAGGTTACAGTTGGCCTTTAACACAAGTGGGAACTGTAGAAGTCTATATATAGATCTGTATGCAAATATTTGCAATGAATACAGTACAATAACATTATTTTACTTATGATTTTATTTATTAGTTTTTTTTATTTTTACTTAATTTATTTGAGAGAGAGAGAGCACACAAGCAAGGGGAGCAGCAGAGGGAGAAGGGAGCCTGGTGCAGGGTCCCATCCCAGGA